ATTAGCATTAGCTTTTTGTGATAAATATATAATAAACTCACAGTAACAGAAATAGCTCTTGAAAGTTCTGTCAGATCCCGGCATTTTTAACTGTTTTTGACGCGTGTTAAAAAATCAGCACCTGGTTACAGGGGCTCATTTGACAAATTATCATCTTTCGTAATTTAAGTTATAAAATCTAAAATTAAAGTGATCTAAAATGTTCATGACTAACGAGTATTTTCAATTGTACGCTGTGAAATGAGTCTAAGAGTATATACATGTATATCGGGATACTGACTGCATAGTAAAATATTTATGTACCTATTAGTTGCGGCTCATTTTGGTCTTTTAAGTAAGTGTCCTTCCCCTGCATTACTTGATCGCTTTTGTAAAAAATAAACAGCACAACAACAGCACTCGACATCAGTATAATTTGTACCAAAAAATGAAGAAAATATTCAAAAAGAAGGCTCATAAAATTCAAATATTGGTAAGCACGCACACTAACTTGTCACTACGGACATGATCTTTTTGTTAATGCGCCAAACTCGTTTCTTCCACATGACGATGTCGATGGTGGGGAAAATGACGTCTTGCAAGGCTATTTAGGCGTCCCAGAAAAAAAATTGCCAGACGTCATAATTATTTGGACTAGGGAAAACCCAACAAATCATTAGTTCCCAAAATGAGTATCCTAGTTGAAAGTTTTTTTTTAATATGATATAGCTATTTCATATTGGAATGGCACATATTCATGAAAAATCAACAAATGATCCGAAAGTCGAAAAGATGAATATAGTCTTTTGACTTCACAAACTTGGAAACAGTTGTGATGTTGCTTCGCTGAGCTATAGATAACCGTACGACCATCAACAATGAGCAAAATTCACACCATATAGACATAGGTGCTTGAGGACAGGAGTCAAGATTCACATTGATAGTAAACATGCATATTAAGAGTAAGAATATGGTATATTAGTATATATATGGTACAAATAAGTGATATATATTGAAAAATCTAAGATTTATGATAAGAAGGGGGAGGGACTATGGTGGGGGGGTGGGGGCTCAAAACAGGATCCTGTCCTCAAGCACCTATGCATATAGAAAGCTGTAAATATAATAAAAGGCCTCGAAATGACAAATGTAAAACAAAAAAAAACAAGAAGCCTAACATTTATAATAGAATTTAAAATAAAATTGAAAATAGAAATGGGGAATGTGTCAGAGAGACAACAACCCGCCCAAAGAGCAGATAACAGTCGAAGATCACCAATGTGACTTCAATGCAGCGAGAAAATCCCACAACCTGAGGCGTGCTTCAGCTGGCTCCTAAACAAAAATGTATACTAGTTCAGTGATAATGGACGTCATACTAAACTCAGGATCCTGTCCTCAAGCACCTATGCATATAGAAAGCTGTAAATATAATAAAAGGCCTCGAAATGACAAATGTAAAACAAAAAAAACAAGAAGCCTAACATTTATAATAGAATTTAAAATAAAATTGAAAATAGAAATGGGGAATGTGTCAGAGAGACAACAACCCGCCCAAAGAGCAGATAACAGTCGAAGATCACCAATGTGACTTCAATGCAGCGAGAAAATCCCACAACCTGAGGCGTGCTTCAGCTGGCTCCTAAACAAAAATGTATACTAGTTCAGTGATAATGGACGTCATACTAAACTCCGAAATATATAAAAGAAACTAAAATTAAAAATCATACAAAACTGACAAATGCCACAGGCTCCTGACTTGGGACAGGTGCAAACATATGGTGGGGTTAAAAGCCTATATACTGTAAATTTCAGAAATTATTGCATGCATTTACTAATATTGCCAATTAACATATAATCAGTCAAGGATATAACTCTATAGCATGTATAGCATGTATAGGGTTATTACAGAAAAATAACATACATTTGTTATTGTGGACTAAAAAATCAAAGAACTGTGATAACATATATGCATGTTACATGTTTCAAAGGGACAATATACATCATTAGTTTTCTTAAAATGTACACAGGTTCTATTGATATTACTATTGTCTTCGTGTATACTTAACTATAGAAAGATATAACAGTTCATAGCTCGCCAATCATTCATAGTACACCTATGTTATTACTGAAAAAAATATGCCTATAATAACTAACGGGTGTTATTACAGCTCCTCTACATCATTCCTAAGCATTTGCTCAGACATTCATCATGCTTAATTACAATGTATTTTAATTTATTGTAAGAAATAATGATCAGAGCATGTAATGAGGTTCTGCGCAAGCTTCCCAGTAATTCCCAAGTGTCTTATATAACAAGTTAAATGCCTTTAATAACTAATATAAAAAAGAAGATGTGGTATGATTGCCAATGAGACAACTCCCCACAAGAGACCAAATGACACAGAAATTAACAACTATAGGTCACCCTACGGCCTTCAACAATGAGCAAAGCCCATACCGCACAGTCAGCTATAAAAGGCCTCGAAATGACAATGTAAAACCATTCAAACGAGAAAACTAACGGCCTAATTTATGTACGAAAAATGAACGAAAAACAAATATGTAATACATAAACAAACCACAACCACTGAATTACAGGCTCCTGACTTGGGACAGGCACATACATACAGAATGAGGCGGGGTTAAACATGTTAACGGGATCCCAACCCTCCCCCTAACCTGGGACAGTGGTGTAACAGTACAACATAAGCCTTGTTATTACAGCTAAGTTGATCCCTTATGATCCCTTAAAAGCCTCGTTCATTGATTTGCCATGGTTAATGAAAAATGTATTAATTTAATTCAAAAATTAGTTATCAAGGCTATGCATTTAGTTTCTGCGCAAAGTTTCAAGAGTTACCTAGAGCCTACCAAAAATCAAAATATTTATGATTTATTTTACAAATAACAAACATATGTTATAACAGATTTAGAAAATTTAAGGATTTAAGAGTAGACAACTAATGAAAGTATCTGTAATAACACATGCAAGTTATTTTCTGTAATAACCCTATAGAGTTATATCCCTGACTGATAATCATGATAATTTCCCTTTCAATTTTTAAAAAATTCTGATTTAAGTTTTTGTTGTATATTGGGACTTTGGATAGTCTCAAGAATGCTTTCACCAATTGTTATGAAACTTTGGTGAATTAATTTTATATATTGACATAAACTCCCTTTTCATTTTTATGACCCATAGTGGGTCAACCCTTGACCGTCTGTCCCAAAGTCATTGGTTTTTGTTCTCTAATTAAGTTTGCCTCAACCAAATGTTATGAAACTTTTACAAAAGCTTATTACCACAATACTCAGATCAAGTGTGGTGGTGTCAGTGTTACCGTTCTAGAGTTATGTCCCTTTACAAATGGAAAAATTGCTGAATTTTTGGTTTCCCTCTCTCTAACTTTAACTTTAGTTTGCCTCAACCAAATGTTATGAAATTTGCACACAATGCTTATTATCACAAAAAACAGTTTGAATTTTGGTGGTGTCACTTTTACTGTTCTAGAGTTATGTCCTTTACAAATGGAAAAAATGATGAATTTTTCGTTTCCGTCCTCTAAATTAAGTTTGCCTCAACCAAATTTTATTAAACTTTAACGCAATACTTTTTACCACAAAATCAGATCAAGTTCAAATTTAAGTAGAATAAATTTTACCGTTCTTAGTAATCTTCCTTTATAACTTTATATGATATGCAAGCCGGAGTATCATCCCCTATTTATTTTTATATAAGATGCAGAGTTATGGAATTTTAGTTGTTGGAAAATTGTTTTAAATTGTCCATTTTCACACTTTGGAAGGTTTTAGAATTGTATTTGTTCAAAAATCACGGCCTTAAACTTATATACACTTGCAATATCCCTAAATGGAGCCAAATTATTTTCATGTTTTGTTTCAATGTATACCACTGTGTGCATGTCCTTTTTTAGCTCACCTGGCTCGAAAGGCCAAGTGAGCTTTTCTCATCACTTGTCGTCTGTCGTCGTCCGTCGCCGTTGTTAACTTTTTACATTTTGAACTTCTTCTAGAGAACCACTGAATGGAATGGAATTAAACATGGCATGAATGTTCCTTATGAGGTGCTGACCAAGAGTTGTTACTTGATCCAAGATGGCCGGCAGCGGGGGACTTAGTTTAAGATAGGACCCTATAGGAAATACATACAAATGTCTTCTTTTAGAGAACCACTGAATGGAATGAAACCAAACATAGCATGAATGTTCCTTATAAGGTGTTGACCAAGTGTTGTTACTCTGTAGCCGATCCATCATCCAAGATGGCCAACAAGCGAAGAACGACAATATTAAACCAAATATGGCCTCAATCATTATTAAAGTATGTGTTATGATTTTTATCTTTTTTATATGATTTCAAAAACCCAAATAGAGTCAGGTGAGCGACACAGGCTCTTTAGAGCCTGTAGTTTTTTTTTAGGGGGGGGGGGGGGGGGGGGGGGTCTTTGTTGCGCAGTGCTCACAGTTTTTCTATAATGATTAATGTAGTTGATCATTAAAATTATTCGTTTAAAGCATAAACCCAAGCTAAAAGGACAACAAGCTTATCAAGCACTCATGGTACAGCTTTTTATTAAACACGCATTGATATATACATTAAACAGCAAAATGATTATTGATGCAAGATGTCATTAAATAATAATTTTTACTCTTTTTACGTGTAGGGCAAGAACTATAGAAGATACAGAGAAATTATAAACAGCAGAAATGATAGGCAATTTAAAATTTGCAGAAGTCAACAAATCCTAAATGGTAAGTAAACTCATCATAGATACCAGGATTAAATTTTTTGAAATTTTGACGACAGACACATACAGATTATACCGTTAACAATATTTCAGAGTTTAATGTTGTCAAGCACACACATCATAGAAGAATAGTTAATCACGTCATTGTTGTCCATTGAAAAATTAGTATGAACACGATGAAAAAGTACGGGAATGTTTGTTTGTTAAACTATTGACCGTGGTTATGTCTTTGAAACTGTTGACCGGCAAATAGTCTGTGAAATGAAATAGCACAAATATTTCATTCCTTTTTTATATATCATGGTATATAGAAAAACACATACTGATGTACAATAATAGTTATAGTCATTAAATTATAGTTTTTACCTTTTTTGAGTTTAGGGCAAGAAATATAGAAGATAAAGAAAAATATAAACAATTACAACCATGACAACTGTACAGTAGAAATGATCGGCAAAACAACATAAACAGAAGACAACAAGGCCTAAATGGTAAGACCACTTCTATATAATAAAAGTGATTGCCCTTGAATGATGACTATTATAAAAATAAGAAGATGTGGTATGTGAGTTATCTATCCACCAGAGTTCAAAGAAGTGGATGCAAGCAATTAAAAACCAATGACGGCCTTCGATAATGAGAAAACCCATACCTGAAAAGATTTAAACAATCCAAATTAGTTCAAAGCCAATAACAATTAATAAAAAAATCATGTCTGTGAGCACTCCACCTAACCATAATCTAGGACAGTGGTTCAAATAGCACATCATATGAACAAACTGTAAAAACTGTTGCGTGTGGCTCAACTCATTATCACTGCAAGGCATTAAGTCGTGGACACAAAGCACTGAAAACAGAACTCATAATCATGATTAGTAAGAATATCAAATTTAAGTTTCTCAAAATGTTCATATTAAACATGATAAAATAAGCTTATTTCATATTGCTGTTTTTTTTCTCAATTTATTTTTTTGTGTATTTATAGGTGAGACTTCTTGGTTTTCATGATCATCAACAGGTCAATACAGAAGAGGAAACTTAAGGTTAATAGTTTTCTACATTGTGTGCTAATTGGATTAATGTGAAATGAAATGTGTGCTTACCTGGAAAAAGAAAATAGGAAATTTCTACAAAATGGCTGTAAACAAAATGGAGTACAATCATAGATGCACAAGAACACAATTGTGTAATTGCAACAACCTACATATTCACTGAAGGATTATGGAGAAATGTAGAAAAAATAGTATTTTGTTGTCGAAATAAACACCTGCTTTATCCATTCATGTACATAGCTCTGTCATATCAAATATACAGAGGAAGACGTTTGAAGAACAAATTGCAAAAATGTATTCTTTACCAATTGAAGGAAGATGTCTGGTGGATGTAATTATTTATTCACTGAACTGTTATGTAGGGGATTGAATAATTGTACGCAGTAGCCTAAACAGAAGAAAAGTTAAATTAACATGAAAAGTGGTTATTTATTTAATCTGCAAATATGAGCACAATATTAATAACATCACAAATAGTATGATATTCATAGCGTTTTGCTTGTTATTGTATTGTCTCAAACAGCTAGCCTATTGTTTTTGTATGTCATGTTACTCATCAGTGAACATTTTATTAAAGTTTTAATTATCTTTTGTATCAATTATTCAGTCTCAGAAAAATTATATTCATACTGTTTTTACTGTTTTGAAATTTTCATAGAGGAAAATTGAATAACAGAAATTTTCATAGAGGAAATTTGGAGAACAATGTTTCCCTTAGAGGAAATTTGTGGTCTTGAATTTTCCCTCAAGGAAAAGTGTCTGTCAAAAATTTCCTCACAGGAAATAGCTGTTGACAAAATTTCCTCACAGGAAAAAGTATTTCCTCAAAGGAAAATTTGAAGCCGCAAATTTCCTCACAGGAAAAAGTATTTCCTCAGAGGAAAATTTGAAGCCTCAAATTTCCTCGGAGGAAATAGAATTTCCTCAAAGGAAAATTTGAAGCCGCAAATTTCCTGAAAGGAAATATTAATGCAGCAAATTCCCTAAGGGAAATCTTTTTCCTTTGAGGAAAATACAATTTCCCTTGAGGAAAACTACTTTTCCTCTGAGGAAATTGTTAAAAAAAGGGGCATAACTTTTTCAACAGTGGTGCTAGAGCCAAAATTTTTTAGGACAAATATCAGGGAACCAATACCAACCAAGTTATCAACTTCATTTTGACTTAACTCCAAAAATTAAGGTGACAACTTTTGCACTCAGCGGAAGTGCAAACTTGTCCCGGAGACTGTTATTAGTTTTCTCTTATGAAAATTTCAGAATTTGTCATGCTGTGCCTTTCATTCTCACCACACAATATGGTATGGGTTCTGGTCATTGTTGATTATTGTACAGTGCCTTATAGTTGTTAACATCCTCGTCCTTAAGTCTCGGGTGGATAGTTTCTCATTTACAATCATACAACATCTCCTTATCTACTATATCCATGTTTATTACCAGTTGCCCTAGACAAAAGGGTACAGTAGAAGTGATCATTAAGTTATGAGTTAAATTTGTCTTAGATTAAGTACCATATTTATATGTTTTAAGTAAATTTCGTATTTTCTTGAACAATTGTATGTAAAACAACTTTGATATCTACTTATTTGTCATAAAATTCATCATGTTTATAATTATCTTGAAAATAAGCTAATTAATACAATGTCGGTTTCAATATTAATTTTAAAGTTAATTTGTTCCTGAAAAATATTTTTTATATCTAATACATGTACACATATTCATTATGTGTTATATATTTACTGAAAATGAATTCATAACCATACAAAAGTGAAATTAGAATAGGTAATAATCGGGATATTAACATTGTATTTGTAATTATCAGAAATTAGAATATACATGATATACATGTACATACTTTAAATGCCATAGGTAATAAACAGATGTCAACAAAACAGTAAATTGTCTTGAGGGGTGAATTTCAAAGGGTCATACATGTAGGTATCGCACACGACTATGATTTCCACAAATGTTAAATTGCACCCTTTTTCATGTACCTGCTCACATAATTTTACTGTATATTCAAAACAATTTGAAAAAGAAGTATGAAGCAACATGCTACATGTATATTGTATTATGTTAAGAAATGCATTTATAAAAGGTTATATTGGGTATTCATTTATCAACTTAAACATTGGTTAAAACTGCAAAACATTAATTATTACAAATTGTAATGATGAAAGAAATAAAAAAAAAAAAATGTCAAATGAAACCCAGGGTTTTCTGATAAATTTTAGAAGGAAATTATAGTTACTTTAGTTGGCTGACTTGAGGTAAAGTTTTCCCAAAACATGTACTTGTACTAGGACAAAGATCATAAAATTAACCAGAGACAATTTCATTCTATAATTTTGATATAATTTGTCCCAAACGTAGTTCAGCACATTGTAAAAATATTTATGATATTGTTGAGAAAGCGCAGGTGGGATTTTTATACGACGGCAAAAAATGTTTGCGTTGTATAATGCTATGATGTCATCGTCATCTGAAGACACATTTGGTTTCCGGACAATAACTTTAGTTTAAGTGAATGGATCTCTATGAATTTTTCGACTAGGTCTCGACTTTACTTAATTAGTCTGATTCAGTACTTGATGATCTTGGTCACAGGTGTAGTCTGAAATGGTCTCGACCAAGGCTCAACCAGTCTCCACCTGTCTCAACTAGTCTCGACCTGTCTTGACTAGTCTCGACTCAGTCTTAACCAGTCTCGACCTGTCTCGACTAGTCTGGACCTTCAAATTTAGTCTTCACTGGTATAAATCAGCCCATCTAACTAAATAAAAAAAAGATCTTACAAAATTCCAGTTTATTTGTTAGTTTGATTCATTGCTGTGAAATGAAAGAATTTAATTAATAGGTAAAAAAAAATGATTAAATTCAGATATGCATCTTTAATTTTTTTTATAACTTTTTCAAATCAACTTGGATTTTCATCAAACTATACAGCTACCTTGGTAATATATTAATTTTACTGAATCATAGGTCATTATGTAGTTTGGTGTATTGCTGTCAAATTTAAGAATTAAATTAATCTAGGTCAAAAAGCTAGAATTTGAATTTAGGAATATATTCAGATAGTACACTTTAATTCTTTTAATAACTTTTTCAAATCAACTTGGATTTTCATCAAACTATACAGCTACCTTGGTAATATATTGATCTTACTGAATCAAAGGTCATTATGTAGTTTGGTGTATTGCTGTCAAATTTAATCTAGGTAAAAAAAGCTAGGATTTGCAATTTTGGACAAAATTCAGATAGTACACTTTAATTTTTTTTGTTAACTTTTTCAAATCAACTTGGATTTTCATCAAACTATGCAGCTACATGTATATTAGTAATATATTGATCTTACTGAATCACAGGTCATTATGTAGTTTGGTGTATTGCTGTCAAATTTAAGAATTAAATTAATCTAGGTAAAAAAAGGTTGAATTTGCAGTTCGGACTTTATTCAGATAGTACACTTTAATTCTTTTTATAACTTTTTCAAATCAACTTAGATTTTCATCAAACTATACAGCTACCTTGGTAATATATTAATCTTTACTGAATCCCAGGTTGTTAAGAAGTTTGGTGTATTGCTGTCAAATTTAAGGATTAAAATTAATCTAGGTAAAAAAAGCTTGAATTTGCAGTTCGGACTATATTCTGATAGTACACTTTTAATAATTCTTTTTATAACTTTATCAAATCAACTTAGATTTTCATCTAACTATACAGCTACCTTGGTAATATATTAATCTCACTGAATCCCAGGTTTTTAAGAAGTTTGGTCGAGACTAGTCGAGTAAAATGTGTGCTCGACTTTACTGGTCGAGCACAAAAACTGGTCTTTTCAGACTCAGAGCAGTTTGTAGTGAAGGTTTGAAGGGTCCAAAATTAAACTTTGTTTGATTTCAACTAAAATTGAATTATTGGTGATTTTTTTATATGCTGAATCTAACCATGTTGTTAGATTTTGGATATCAGACCATTCTAAGTAAATTAAATGTCCCATTTCAAATTTTTAAGATCATTGACCACATTTATTTTGTGTCAGAAACCTATATTATGTCAAACATTTGATCACAATCCAAATTCAGACAGTATCCAGCTTGAATATTGTGTCCAAACTTGCCCCAACTGTTCAGGGTTCGACCTCTGCGGTCGTATCAGGCTGCGCTCAGCGAAGCATTTTATTTAATTTTCATTTATTTTCTAATTGAAATGCAGTATGAAATAACTGTGTTCTAGGGCCATGCTTGAATGCTTTCTCCTACCTAAATAAAAGTTGTTGTAATTGTGATTTTCTTCTTGGAATATAATTTTAGAGTACTAGTACTTACAAAATTTGTTACACAAAACATATATAAACTAAAGAAACAAGTCCATTCTTAAAATCATATATATGTTTTTTTGTAGATGATTCCCAGCTAGAAAAATGAAGCAGTCTACAAATGATAAATGTGCACTTATGATTTGTAGGAAATATAGACAGATGTCAATTGTGGATGAATTCATAATTTTGTGTATATTATTTATTGTTTTTGGAAAAATGAATAGCTCAAACAGCATTGTACAGTACCATGAAGTGATGTTGGGATTAAACTGGACAAGAAGCAAATAGTACTTGTGCCATCGGTAAATACGATCTGACCAGAATAGTTCCGGATCACTCCTTCCTGTCATGGGACTTCACGTTGAATTTTAGTTCTGGAATTAAAGCAAACAACCTGAATATAACTAAAAATGTACGTAAAACAACCAAATATGATACACGCAATCTACCCGATGATTGGCTTGTAACTAGTTCTGCTATTTCTGAAATCAATGGGCTTATTCAGCACTTGGAATCTTCTGAGGCCACTCAAGACAACATTGACCGTGTGTACGAAGATTTCGTGAGCGTTATAAAAAACGAAATGTCGTCAAAACTTCAATCTAAAACGATACGAATACATGATGGAGCTAGTAATAAAAAGAGAAAGTGTAGGAAACCATGGTGGAATGATGATTTAACCATTCTCTGGAATGAAGTGTGTATTTCTGAAAAAAAATGGATAAAATGTAAAAATCGAAATCAAAAGAAAGAGTTTCGCAGTTGCTTTATAGATAAACGGAAAGTATTTGATAAAGCTGTGCAAAGTTCAAAACGTCAGTACTGGTATTTGTTTCAAGAAGATTTGGATAACTCTTGTAAAAATCCAAAGGAATTTTGGAAAAAGATTGGTAGAATTGGTGTCGGAAACGAGCGGCAAAAAAGTATTCCTATGGAGGTGAAACTTAGTGATGGGTCTATTTCGTGTAATAAAAATGATATATTATATAAATGGAAATCTGAGTTTTCTAATATGTTCAATAGAAATTGTAATAATTATGATTATGACTTAAATAATCAATCTATACTTGATGATATGCTTGACTGTGAAATTTCAGTTGATGAAGTTTTGAACGCTCTACTGTCTTCTAAAAGCGGAAAAGCTCCTGGTTATGATGAGATTCCCGTTGAACTTTATAAGAATCAGACTACGTTAATGGCATTGACTAGAATGTTTAATGTTTGTTATAACTCCGGGAAGGTACCTTTTATGTGGTCAAAAGGTGTTATT